ACAGTTCAAGCACGCATTCCTGCGTGCGACAATTTCTATTATGGCTTCCCTTACCTCAGGCTTCACCTTAGGTGGTTAGAATAGAACAGAATTTATTCATCTATCGTCAACAACAAGATCTGCCCTCGAAATGTCAGCCGTGGAACATCGCGCAAGCGTTTATTATGCTAAGGTCGCCGCATCATCGTGGTGATGCGTCATCTATTGAAACAGACTACATGACCTTTAAGAGAATACAATCCAGAGCGCCCTGCTGCTCGAGTGCCACCTATGCAAAATGTAACCATAATCAAGCATAATGATATTCAACTTTCGTTAATCCTGTTCCATAGTTATCACCAGCCATGTGGAATTTGCTATCACAAGCAAAATGTAACGCTAGTCTACCATAGATGTACCTAATTTCTATATGTTGTTAGTGAAAAATAGTACTTCAGCTGTTTCGTAACCTGTGATGTGCATATTATTAATCTGTTCGGTGGCTATTCCAAACCATATGGAATTTGCTATCACAAGCAAAATGTAACGCTAGTCTACCATAGATGTAGCTAATCTCTGTCGTTCATTAAATGAAAAATGGTACTTCGGCTTCTTCCTAACTTCTCATGTGAATCCTTACAATATTGTTCCATGGTTATCACAAACCATATGGAATTTGCTATCCCAAGCAAAATGTACCGCTAGACTCACATGGATGTACCCAATGTTTATCAGTTATAAATGAAAAATGTTATATTGCTACATAGCTATCACAAACCAGATAGAATTTGCTATCCCAAGCAAAACTGTACCGCTCTAGTCTCACATAGATGTACCCAATTTTATTCTGTTATAAATGAAAAATGCTATATTGCTACATTGCTATTACAAACTAGATGGGATTTGCTATCTCAAGCAAAATGTAATGCTAGTCTCCCGTATATATATGAACCTAATCTCTATTGGTTAATAATGAAAAATGGTACTTCGGCGGTTTCCTAAACTATCTTTTGCATTCTTATTATGCTGTTTCAGGGTTATCACAAACCAGATGGAATTTGCCGTCACAAGGAACATACCTAATCTCTAACTGGTAATAAGGAAAAAATATATCTTCACAACTTCCTAGCCTGCCATGTTCAAACTTGAAGTGCTGTTCCATGGTTATCACAAACCAGATTAAATTTGCTATCACAAGCAAATGAGAAAAGATTGTTGATCATACCTTCTTGCTACGTCGTCCCAAACGCTTTCAGTGTTGTTATTTGTGATACGAAGTTCAGTATTGAGTCATTTTTCCAAACATCTTCATTCGTCCTTGGTGTAGACTATCACATGATAGGTCCATGTTGTAATCCCAAGCAACCGAGTCCAATGTTTCAGCGTTACCCCAAACGTCTTTGTTCGTCCTAGGTATGGAGTTGGCTATCACAAGCTAGGGCCAGGTTGCTATCCCATGCAACAGTGTCAGAACGTTATCCCAAACGTCATGTTAGGCACGCCACTTTCTAATTTTGGTCCGCGACGAAAGCAACCTGCAGGCGACCGTCGGTCGGTATCTCGTTCGACAATGCACATCTATCGGTCAACCTTCTGTCCTGTTTTCTAATTCTAAATGTTCAGCGGATCCTCGACACTGCACTGCACGTAAACGAAGTGCGCCGATTAACGTGTTGACGGTTGGCACGAGAACAAGGAATGAAAGTTTATAGGCGGCCAGAGAGGAGAAAGGTAAGAGGAACGGGCGCGGTGCCGCTTTCCTTCTCTGCGTGTGCGCTTTGAAATCGTGGTGGTTGGGTACTACTACGAGGGTACTACGGTATGTATTCTAAATATTTACTTCGACGAGAACGGAACCTAATACTTCTAGATAGTAGCTTTGGTAAACCTTATTTGTACAGGTAGCTAAAGACCACAGATGAAAAGGTTCGTTTTTTTAAAATTTAAGAAAAAAATCTACATCTCAAAAACGGTGACACTTTTATATAGGTAAGTTTTTGTTATTGGGGAGGTCAGTCCAAAGCCTACCTTATCCTTAAGTTTGCCGTGGTACTTATTGGCCACCCTGTATAATATAAAACGATATATAATAGTTTCCCTTAGATATCTATGGAATGCCGTTTTTGATAATGCCTTTTAACGTTAGACTTGATATGGGATCGGTACTGACATCTCTGATAAGGACAATAGTGACTTGGCGGTTTGCCGCAGTACCTCAATCGGTGGTAGTACAGTGACGATTCTTTCTGGTAAACTTTGTCGCAAAGATTGCAGATAAATTGGCCTGCAATAAAACAGAGAAGATAATGAACGAAACAAATTCAAAATGATTTATTCAGATAATAAATACATTTTTCTACAGGAATTGGATTAAATACTCTATAATTCCAACACAAAAATGACTAGCAAACAATAGGATATACAGAAACATGATAACAACAAAGGTCTTACTAGACTAAAACAGTCAACAATTAGTTGAAAATAGTATGAAAACTCAATTGAAACAACTATTGTTTACAAAAGTGACAGACCACAAAAAAAAACGCAAACACGTTCAAGTTTTTACATTGCAAATTTATTGATTTAGTGTCAATGAGATACCCATTTTTACAGGCAAAAATCAGCGTACTAATAAGTTATGCTACTTTATTTCAATTTGGTGCTTGACAAAACAAGCGTCTTAGGCCGCGATTATACTCCAACGTGGGTGGTAGGTAATATGTGATGGGCGATGCCGTCTGCATTCGTATCAATTTAATCTACCCATATGCCATATACCACCCGCATCTCCAAAATGGCAAAATAGGTAGCAGCGGTGGCGTAGTGGTAGTATGGGTCTACTAATCAATCGCCGTGCGTTGCGCGGGTTCGTATTCCGTCCCAAGATAATTTTTCTCTTCGCTAAGGATGTTGTGGATTGTCCGTACATGGCAGACGGTCTCTGACTGTCGAACGCGGAAGTACCACCCGGCGGATATCTAAAGGCGGGGCCAGACTGTGTGCATGCTGAATGCACACGTGTTCCCTCGCTAGATTCCGTGTGCCCCGCCACTCTTTCCTCCTATAGCCCCACGGTACCTATGGGTCTTTAGGGCTTGGGCCTTCGTGGAGGTTCAAGTATACAAAAATGAGACAATACATTGCTATATTGGGCGATTTTGCCCTAGATTGTGGACGGTTTTGCACCCTTATGGAAACTTTTTGCATTTGGCGGCATTATATTCCGTTTTACAATCGCCCCACCTAAATACTTGGAAAACTATGCATGCTAGCAAACAGTTTCAAACAAAAGCTGTAGGACTTGGAGGGGGCGAAATGATAGTGACTTTGATCTTCTTCAGTATACGATACTTTTGACAATATGTCTTATAACCTTTAAAAAGCCATTTCACGCTCAAGTAGAAAAAAAAGCAAAAACAATTTGCTAGCGAAACTGTTTCACAGAACAGTTGTGGAGATCGTATAAAGCTGACCTTAACCTCATAGTCATTTGACCATGATAGTGACCGTCAAGGTCGAGCCAACATTTTCAAATGAAAATTATTCCGGAAATGGAAGCTGCTACGTTCGAATATGATTTTGACCTTAGTGTCAAGGTCATCTCAAACCTTCATTTCTATACGGAAGTTGCAAAGCGCAGGAAAAGTTAATATTTAAAGTTTGACATGACCTTAAAGGTGATTGTCAAGGTCATGGTCGAAATCTCCCTTGGATAACCACCAGAAAGATCGCAACTGTGCTGCCGAACATTTTTGCCAAAACAAATTGTTTCCGATCTCTTGATTTCACCTTGTAATAGCCATGAAGGTGTAAACCCGGACGCAAAATTTCCTCCTCTTTCCAATTCCGGTGTAAAAGGAAGAGTTTCATTTTCAAATATTAGCTTGACCTTGAAATGACTTTGAATGTCACTGTCAAGGTCATTGACACTTCTCCCCCTCGGCACCTACAAGTTTTGTTTGAAACTTTTCCCTTTGATGCGTGGTTTTCGAAATATTTAGGTGTGGAGATTAAATCGGGACACCCTGTGTACCCTGTACGAATAGTGTTCACGCCATGGCCAACCAAACACTGGCATGGCTATTATGTGAAAAACCTAACAAACGTCAAAAAATCGACAAAATGTCATCTTGCAAACCAGATAGTTTTTAGTGTGCATTCCATATTTGCTTGCTAAGATCGCTGTTCGCTGACGTTTAAGCAACACGTACAGGTACAAAACAAGTTCACAACAAGTATACAACAGCTTGTGCAAAGTTAACATCTTGTAGAAAAACCTACGGAATGTCAAAAAATCTAAGAAATTGCAAAAAAAAACTTATGAATGTCACTTTTTAAGATTCGTAATACCAGTGCGGCTCTCGATCGACCTAGTACTAGTCAGTAGACCGGATGTCACAATATAACAGCACGATGATTGTTTAAATACCATCTGAATAGTGTGTATGATCAGTATAAATAGATCATCATCCGTCACCTGTAGCTTGTCGCCTATCACCCGCCACTTGTCACTTGTGAGAGTATAACGGTGGCCTTACATTTCAGGTACTCATAACATAAATAAGCTTTCTCTTTTACATTTGGTAAAATGGTAAAACGATAAATATACATTCTTCCGACATCGTTCAAAGTACGTTCCACTTCTCAGATGGTTGGATCCTACAATACATTTGTAAGAACTGCTGCCTTTGGTTTTTGTACTCTACATAGTGCTGTGGATGCATATTAGACAGATGTTTTCTATAATTGTAAGAAGTGTAGGTCTTCGATGTAAATCTACATCTGTCTATGTTGCAACTGAATGACTTTTCCACGCCACAGTAACGAGAACGATGGCTGGTCAATGCGCCCCTTTTAGGAAATGACTTTCCACAATTTTCACAAAAGAATGGGCCTAAAATAAAGAATAATGAGTGATATTTACATGATAATACTGTTGTGTCTCTTTACCTTTCTTCAATTACAGAATACGCAGATTACATTTGAAATTAAACATTACATTACATTGAGTGAATACATACGATTGCTTACATAAAATCTGTTTTCCTGATAAGGCAGTCACAGAAATCCTAACTTTATTCATGGGCACAACCTCAGACTGCTGTACAGTTTTGAGCATCATTCCTAACTAGAGATAAAACCTTAGCCTGATCCATTGAGACAGTCATAGTCAGCTAAACAACTCTGAAAGTCACATTCAACTGCAGATAAAATTGTTACTTCTCATCATATGATGATTTGTCAAGTTAGTAGTAAAAAAATGTTTCGTCATCTCAGGATATATTAAAAATAAAACAGCAAATCACTCATGGCACAAAATGTTACAAACTACTGCCGAAAACCCCTAGAAACTTTGTATTTTCGATATTCTTCTGGATGAAATTTGTACAGATGTTTTCCATAGTTATACGGTCGATACCATCTGTCTATATGCTTGCACTGGTCAAAGTTGCAGTTGAATGTTTTGTCAATACCACAATCACGTTTGACGTGGTAGTAAAGTGATTGTCTCTTGCTATACCACTTGCCACATTTACCACAAATGAAACCTACAAATGAGTATTTGATCAAAACCAAAAGCTAGGTTGGAAGTGAAGTATTACCAACTCAAAACCAGTGAAGATGCAAGAGTTAGATAGTACATTATTAGAAAATCTGGTTAACAAAGGATAGACAGCAGTGTGTTATTATCAATTTGACTCCTAGTTCAGGAAGTATCTTCGCATTTGCTCTGAAAAATAGTGTAATTCGGTTTTTTATACGATATTATTCAACAAAAAACATTTTTACTGAATCTATATGCTTCCTAGCACTGCCTCAAAAAATGTTTCCAGGAATTGCTTTTTCGGTTATTATGAAGTTTCCGCTAAAGTTGATTGTTGCCGAGATATAAGCGATTTAATATTTGAAATAGTATAAAATATTCAATTTTCGATCCCGAAAAACAATATGAAAGGTCAAAGTTTCAAAATGCATCTCTAACATCTATTAACAAAATCCTAAAACACTTTAGGGGGTACTGTTATTGTAAACCTTTGCTTTTCAATTGCTAATCAAGCACGGCCTCAAGCATTTACAGTTACAATTCAAAAATAGTTTAGACTATACACAAGAGAACTAAATACGAAGCTATGAAATATAATAAATTTTGCTCCTCCAAGCGTACTTTCTGACTACGTTGAGAAATGCTCAGACATTCAAAAAAATATTGACAAAGCAAAGTTAAAGATACTGCTTCCAACCGTCCAACCAACCACGTACAGCACTGTTTAAAGCTTGTTGGCAAACGTAAAATAACCTCAGAGGTACGTACTACACTTATATTATAACTTTATCATGCAACTGCGAAATTTGTTCCATAAAATATGTAATCATACGAGTTTCTTGAGAAATAAAAGAATTATGTTTCAACTACGGATGTGGTTTTGGTTACAATACCAAGTTAGATTCCGTTATAGTCAGTTCAATGTAACTCTGTAATTTTGTAATGGACTGTAGTTACAGTCCTCGAATAAAGTTTTTAAAATATTATTTCTAGATCCATCAATTTAAGATACATAAGAATAGATAGGGGTACTGCAGATCTTAGCCTCATCCATTAGGGCTGGGACAATCGTCGTTGCTTAAGAACTTTGAACGTTACTAGAACGTGATTTCTCGAGATGGCAGTGAAAAGAGAATGTTAGTTATTTGATGATGCACTAAAAATTGCAATAACAAATCATTCATTTAAAAAACACAACTGCAACCGCAAGTTTATATTTCACGTTTTTTTCTAGACGAAACTTGTGTAGATGTCATAGTTATATGACAGATACTATCTCTCTTCATACTTGCTATTATCAAAGTTTTTCTTAAACATCATGTCAACATCACAATTATGCTTGATATGGTAGTAGAGCGACTGTTCTTGTCATAAAAGTTATCACATTTAACAAAAATAAAATATACTTATCAGAATTACAGTCAATATGAAAAGCCAAATTTGAGTCCAAATCATACCATCATGGATCAAGAAAGGATACAAGAACTCGGCAATACATCAGTTTGAGATAATATGAGGTCCAATAAAGCTGCATATACTCGTGTTATAAAAGGTATATTTCAATCAATAGAAATACTCAAATACTTCAAAGTTTCAACATTATTTTTTCTTATATAATACTGCATCAACGTATTGCTCTCCATGATGAACCACAACATGTCTTTTCAAGTTTCCTCTATGATAAGCCTTGTATCTACATAGGCTGCAAGCCATTGATGGTTGCTTCTGACAGTAGTATCTTTTATGCAGGTTTAAACTGGCCACACTTCTATACTCTCTTCCACATGTTGGACAACGGATGATATTTTCAGCTGCAAAATTAAGTCTGCTACACATTTGTATGAAATATGAGATAAAAACGGTTAGTTTGCATTAAACCATTGACCTTTTTACAACTGATGGTTTATAAAATGCAATAAACAACTATCGTACTAATGTTGATCAAAAAATGATCACATGCTAGAAAAGCTCAGTTTTGACGAAGAGGAAGGAAGGACTACATTCGGGACACTTGCAGAGACAGCAAGGTAATAGTCGTCTGAACAGTAACAAATCCTATATAAAATCTACTGAAAATGCGCTTATTTCGTATATAATTGATTATAAAGGAAATGGAAAAAAAAATGGGAAAAATTTGATTTTTTTTAGCTTTGAATTAATTTCATAGAACTCTTCTTCTTTCGTAGTGTATCTTATAATTATTATACCTTATTTGCTGATTAGATGACATTTTTTAAACTTGAGCTACCAGCTTAAGGACTAAAGAGCCAGGGATGTCGTGACGCTGAAGGGAAATCCAGAAGAGGGGGACATGGACTCTAGCGACACACATTCTGGCCCTGACTTAGAGATTCACCGGGTGGTACCTTCACGCTCGACAGTCTGAGACCGTCTAACACCTCCAACTTTACTTCTGCTATGGAGATCAGCCATCCATCAGATGTGAGGAAAATAATCTTTACCTATTATTTAACGTTGACAGTGTCCGGAATAATAATTCAATCCAATCGGCAGTTTCCGCGGCGGGAAATACAGCTGATTCAAATGTTACAAATGACAGTTACTAATAAGTTGTGAAAACTATTGCATGAATTGATCAGACATTTTTGTCAGCTCTTGAGTATCAAAAAAGGTACCTGGCAGCTAAATCGTAGATTGACTTCAAAACAATTATTGATCATTCAAAGACCGGTAAATTTCTATGATTTTTAGCTATTTTCTGGACAACTAATAACTTTATTGACCATTCAAAACCGCTATTTGAAGATTCTATATTTTATGACGGGACGCACTTCTCAAATTTGCATTAACATGCCATGCGTTTTAAAAATATATTATCTAAATGCGGAAGAATAGGCAGATTCTTTTTTTATACTCTACTACCACGAAGGCCGAAGGCCTGAAACACCCATGGGGTACCGTGGGGAAACGGGGAAAGAGGGGGTTGCCACACGGACTCTGGCGAGGGAACCCATGTGCATGCAATATGCACACGTTCTGTCCCCGCCTACGAGATCCGCCGGGTGGTACCTTCTCAGTCAGAGACCGTCTACCACCTACGGACAATCACAACATCCATAGATAAGAGAAAAATGTCTCTTGGGACGGGATTCGAACCCTCACAGCGCTCGGCGACTGATCAGGAGACCGCTGCAGCCTTCGAACATTCGCCACCTAATAACTGAAAAACAGAATCTAATTTCCAGCAGATATTGCTCAATTCTCTTACTGTACCTATACCTAAATTATACAATGCTTTGCATTCTTTTCTTTTTGAACGAGCAAGTTAGCAAATTTAAATTCAGAGTAACCAAATTGATGTAAATACTACTCTAGCGTAAAAGTGGCAACTGAAAATTTCAAAATGACGGATGAGTACCATCTTGGAACATTTATTTGAATAAAAAGACGGGTTATATGATATGACATTTCGAAGCCACAGATGAGTGATTTATGACCTTAGACCTAGCATATCAAGTAGTCACTTATCTTATAGAATGAGGAAATGACAGGCTGTCAAAGTTGAGCGGTTTTGTACAATGAATTGCATATAACTCAACAAACAATTACCGAAATGTTATACAAATGTTCTTACATTGAGAAAGTCTATTCGGGTATAAAATAACGAATATTCATATATAAAAAGATTGCAAATAGTATTATTTTCTTGAAAGAAATTTAAAGTTAGTCTTCTATAATAAACAATATTGATATACTGGTATTGATGAATGGTTGTTGAGTTATAAGCGATTCAATGTTAAAAAATGATCAACTTCGATCGCCTGCCAGTCCATTTTGAAATATGGCGATTTTATTTTCAATGGTTATCGAGTACTCCTAATTAGCTTCAAAATGAGGTATCACGTGACTCCCATTCCATTTAAGAAATGTTCCAGGTTGGCGCCAGCGCCAATTTCCAACTTCATTAGTTTGAATTTCACCTTGCTAACTTGACCCGTTCAAAAAATAAATCACTGTATAAAATGGTCACTGGTTTGCTGTTTCACCAAACGAAAACCTCATTACCCTCTAAAGGATATGAATTATAATATGTTTCAGAAGTGAATTTCCTGATAACCATACACAGTTTTGCCATTTACCAAGCCTGTCATCAACACCGATCACATATTTCATTATGTTAGTATTCATAGGAGCTCTACTTCAACCAGGTATTGGTAAAGTATAAACCACAAATATTATATAGAGCAGTTTATTAAAACTGCCCACTATAAATATATGTCTATATTATATTCGTATACATATCATGTCGTACTTTTAAATGACTAGTTAGCAAATACTTCCTTGTAGTTTTGAAATGACACGTAGGAAACACACACGGAAAAGCTTTAGCGTTATCACATTCAAACTTCTCATGTCTCCACAACGATCTCTTCACTTTGTACATCTTTCCACATCTTTCACAATGATACGGCCCTACAAAACAACACCTTTGAAGTTTTTTCGCTAGATGAACAGCAAGCTACCTATTCACATCATTAGGAAAAGAACAACATCATGCCCAATATTTCCGATTTTAGAATTACCTTCCAGTATACGAAATACGGTTTTCTGATGACCGAGCAAGCATACATTGCCTTCCAGATAAGATTATTAAATTATTAAAAATACATTGAAATTGAGATAATTTAGCTGAACCTTGTAAACATATTCCAACCATTCCTCAGATCTTGATCTTCTCCCGTCTTGAATACAATGTTCGTGTGTACAATCGTAAAAAAGCTATTGATTCTTAGATATATTGAACAAATACAGACAGTACATTTTTCAGATATTACTAGTAAACCATGTAAATATCACAAGTCACATATTTACCATTAAATTTTAATGTAAGTAATGAAGATAGTATTCATTTCACTCCATCAGTCTTGAAAATCATATCTTTCACATCACTTGGAATGTCTTCACCTTTGGTAGTGTGCATGAAAAGGTGTCTTTTAAAGTTGTATTTATAGTTGGACTTGTATGTACAATGTTCTACAGGGCAGCTGAATTCATAGTTACTTTTCTTATTGCATGCGTACCTCCTATGTGAGTAGAATGACAATTTTCTGTCGTAGGACTTGTTGCACACTTGACATTTGTATTGACCTAAAAACCAGGTTTGTTATCTATTTATTTATTTATTAGATTTACGGGTGACACCATTTATACAATTGAAAATTACATACAATATTCTGGAATAAAATTTAAACATTTAAACTCATGAAAACGTTATTATATGCAACCACAGTTTAAAAGATACTTTATAAATCGGAGAGTGTCCAGGTAAAGATGTGAATATCAGACTGAACCAAATTGATAAGACGAAGTGTTGTATCGAGTGTGGAAGGCTGACCATAATTTGTCGGATGGAACTTAATTGCGTAATGTTCTTTAGGGTACATTAAAATTTATCAGTGCTCACAAAATTTCACAATCGGTGAGCTCCGATAAAATCTTGAAAGCGAAACAACCATCAAAGACCAATCGCCTATGTTCCAATGTAGGTAAATGCAAATGTTCTAACATGTCAGCTCTATGATATTCAGTCATTTTTAAGTTCACCTTTAATGCTGAAATATATGAAAATGTATGCTGGACATGTCATAAATCATCTTTATAAGACTGGTACTGAGGATACCATAATATATATATACGAGTATATTGATTGATTGAAAAACACTTATAATTCCTCCAAACAAAGCCCAGCATCTGCATACCGTTTATACTAACCTTAAGAACATGGTCTGTAAAGTAAAGCATTTCATCAAAAAGTACTCCAAGATCCCTAGAGGTAGCTTAATAAGGTATCAATATTTATTGTGTAACCCGTCAACGTTCTAGTCCTACTTTTGTAGAAACTTATGAAAAAGCATTTATTAACGTTTGATTAACAAGTGATTAAGCTGTATCCACTGCTAGGATCTATAAGAGATAATTTTGGGGCTAATCATTTATTGAGGTAGTTACAAAGAATAAATAGCAACTCATTTGGTATTCTCACAATGTACGTAGTGATGTGTAGTTCGCGAGAACGAACTATCTCAAGTGAACGATTCTTATCAATGAACTAAATGCACTAGTTCATCATTCCGTGGAAAACTCGTTCACTTGTTCACCATGAAGGGTTCGCATTACAGGATCCAGATTATCCGGGCAGGCAAACTAGTTACGGGTGACGATAACGAAATAGAAGACGTGACATACCACCGGCGAACGTAGTTTGGTTCAAGAAGATACAGAAATTTCCACAATGATTATATAGGGTTTGAGCATGTCTTTACAACAGGGCACGGTTAAGCATAGCCACCACTTTCAAAAGTCTACGTACTGTATGAAGTTATTTAACTAATTAGAAATATGCGATGAAAGATACATGTTGGTCCAAACATCTTATTTCAGTTAAATTTGATAGGTATCATCAAATCATCATAATATTCCACACGTTAACAAAACACATTGAAAAAAAAGGGCAAGGAATCATGAACAATCTTTGGGTCAGAGGTATATTATCTATTACAAACCTTCTGAACTGGTGGCGGCAGCAAAAGTAAAAATTCCACATTGCTTGAGATCACTTGGGAACGTGTATATCTCATATCTACTGTATGAGCGACACTTTACGTGGAGTACGTATTAAGATTTTAAATATTTATGTATATGATTTTTCGGATAAGGGCAAGTGTCTTTAGTAACCAACAACTTGAGAGAAAGGAAAAATTAACCTCCAATCGGTTTCCTTGTTGTGTGTACCTTAACAATCCGGTTTGTTTCACTTGAACGCCGCCAGATGGGGCAACAAGCAGCTTGAAAGAACAGAGTAACAGTGGCGTGGGTAGGATTGAATTTGCTCTAACAGTCGATACTGAAAGATGGTTGGCAGTTGCTGCTGTAGACTAATTGCACTGTATCAAGTTGTTCTATGAACATTCATCTTAATAAAAAATTTAACAACAAAAAATAATAGATACGATCGAATTCGATCGCTCCTACTGGCCAACATGCCATAAGTAGCCTGGCGTGGCAGCTAGTTCTCCAAAGTACATAAAATATCACATCAATATTACAGTGTAACGAATATGTCATTACCGAACAATTGTACCCAAACAAGTTTGTATAAATCCTGGGCTATACATAATTAGCGCACAACTTGGCAACACCGTCATTATAGATGTGCTGCACCTACTGCGATGATTTGCAAGCCGCACCGTCATGGCCACCAATATGTGGCATGAACCACTCAACGATTAAAATTGAAAGTGTATACTTGCATGAAAATGAAAGTCGAAGCTGTGCATATTCCACTGCTCTATTACCCTTTAGAAATATCAACCCCACACTCACAATGAATATCACGCATATACTATTACTCAAGCGTTACTAAACTGCACGAACCTGTGAGGCAGTCAGGTTAAGTTAGGTTGCTTTCCACTGGTTCTCTACGCAGGCCACAAGGATCTATATCTGTCTCTGTCGGCTACTCAGGTGATCGCGTATTAGTATTATGTGTCTTTCCGGTACCTGGAGAGTACCGTCGGGTGCTGTCTAAGGTCATTCCACCGGCAGGCACTGACTGCTGCTATTACGATTTAGCGAGGTTGTCAGCGGATACTGCTTTCACTTCAGTGGTTTTCATGAATTGAATGTACTGGATGAGTAACGAATATTCATTATGCCTCTTATATTTTTATCGACATCATTTATTCACAAAATACGTAAGAGATAGCATCTTAGTAGTACCTAATATGATTTTAATGTGTTCGTAAATACTTCAATCTTTTTCCTTTCATCTCTGAGCTATTTTCTAGTTACGTTTTTCCTTCGACAGAATGTTATTCGTTTTATGATCAACTTACTTAGGCAAAGTGAGGAGCAAATAATACAAGGAGTGAGAAAAGCTACTTAGGTAATTCTATGGTGCGATGATGAAATCCGAGCTTTTGTTAATCCAAGATATTATTTGACAAATGACATTACTTATTCTTCGTGTGTGGTTGGCATATACACTGCGGAATGAGGAATTTGAATTCAATTAATTTACCCTCTAATGTCGTGCTTTTCCACGCTTTACAGAAAATGAAACATTGTATGCCTTTAGACCTGCATTTAGCATCCACACTGGTATCTGTCCTATTATACAGGGTTATCCAAATTAAGTGTCCACCATTAGTAACTTTGTTATTAGTGAAAATACAAAGTTGTTTGAATTAGCAAACTAGTAGCATTTTTAACGCTGGTAAAAATGAGAAATAAAAAAAAACAATTGAGAGTCGTTATTTTGATTTTTTTCAGTAAAATAACATTTTTTTAAATGGAAACCCCTGTATATTATATTTTTTTCTGTTAAAGCATCAAATTTTAAACAAAAAAGTTCATAATGACTTTTCCGCTAAAGTCAAAAATAAAGTCAAAATAACGATAAATATTTTTAATTATTTGCAGTATTATAATATTAAGACGGCTATGAAAACAACATGGCGTTCGCGATTTGACAGCATTAAGATAAGCGACAAATTGTTAAACTGGACATACTCGCAACTAGAAGGCTTTGGAAAACAATGATAAAATCAAATAATGTCAAACATTAGTGTAAATACTTGTTTATAAGCTTTATTGTGTCATTAATTTAAAGAAAAATGTTCTCCCATGAAGAAAAGTGTGATATGTTAGAATGCTATTTAGTGTGCAGAAAATCCTCCTTGAGAGCAAGAGAATAACAGTGAATTATATCCCGCTCGCATTCAACCGTATGAACGATATTTTCTGAGACTTTATCAAAAATTTAGGGGCAACGAAAATGTTTTTGCTAAAACAAGGGCAAAAAAAGAATTCATAATAAGCGAGGCCACGGAAATTGCAGTTATTGGATATTTTGAAGCTTATCGTGAGAATTCAATAGCAGATATTCTCAAGGACTCTAATTTCAGTTATGGTACTGTTCAAAGGATTTTAAAAAAATACAAATTTATTCCGTATAAGTACCGACCAGTTCAAACGCTTTTGGCAGGGGATCCAGAGAGAAGACTTGTTTTTTGCCATTGGTATCTTAGCTTCTGTCGTCAAAATGTAAATAACTTTCGTTACCTTTTATGGACAGATGAATCAAATTTTTCAAATTCTGGAATGTTTAATAG